TTTTTTTCGAGAAAAACTACTCTAGCAGTTATCAAAGGACTCAGGAAGTCCGTGTTGTATGAATTGGATTTTTACGTAGGAATTTGAATACGCATTTTACCGGCTCAGAAACGGTAGTTGAATGATCTATTGAAACTGGATTTGTCTCCATCTGCAATATCAATAGTATGCAAGGATGGCTCCAAGTCATATCCTCTTAATTTTTCCTAGTCCTTACAGAGTTAAGGATATTTCTGTGATATTATGCATTTTAAGTGTTTTTATGCGAGTATAAGTAGCTTGCGGCGCCGTGCGGTGGAGGGTGATTGGTACAAAAATACTTTACTTACACTTTAAACCAGAGGTGGCTAAAACTCACACAATCATATATTTAAATTTTGATAAACGATGAGAGAATGAAGAGAAGAAGTCGCTCACGCGTCTGATGGAAGCAGTGTTGTCAACGATTTCGAGTTGCAAATTATAAGAAAATGGTATTTTTTTTATTATGTATTGTGTGAAAAGTAGAGATTATATTAAAGAATTAACCTTTTAATATAGTTTAATTCACTTTCATTGCTTGCTTAGATCTTTTATTATAATTAAAATTAAAATTTACTGTGTCTTGCATCGAATCGATTGCTTCAAAGTTTCGCATTGATTGAGCACGATCACAGCAAAACCATAATCGTCGGCATGGATCTGTGAAAGCAGCGCCGTTTTTCTCGAGTACGTGTGAAAGCAGAATAGAAACTAAACTAATAGCAAGACAAATTTCAGCTGTGTCCATGTCGTCAATCCGCCATATGCTGAACGCTTCACACTGGTAGATCTCTACATATAAAAGTTGCTGGAAAAGGTAGTAAACATATTTCAATTTAGCCGAAATTTGCTACTTGAACCACCTTCACTAAGGAAAGATAAAGTATGAAAAACTGCCACGCCCACTATACAAAAGGGTGGATATGGTAAATGTTATCCGATTCCAATTAAATTCGGTTTGTAACTTGACTTAAGCTAGGAAGACATATATATATATGGGTCATTCCATACAATATTTACACCTTAATATTTTTTTTGGGGTGAAATATATTTTTTTACACTCTTTATCGAAAAAAAAGAAGACATAAATTTTTATATTTCGTCATTATATTCGCAAATCTCGAAAAAAAATCCCGAAATTTTAAACTCACGGAGAAATATCTTTTTTCAATTGTTTGCAGTTAATAAACTATTTGTCGGAGAAAATCTTAAATCTTATGTATAAACTTTATGAAACTTTATGTACGCAGGTATGAAAAATTCGTAACTTCTGCAGTTTAAAAAAATAAAAATCGAACATGGTGAAGTTAATGAAAAAAATAAAATAATGAAATTTTTGTATGCAAATTTTTTTTTTATTTTAATCTATCTCACACTCTCATGGAAAGCCGAGGTAATTACGCACATTTTGATACCTTAACTGAATTTCTCCGACAAATAGTTTATTAACTGCAAACAATTGAAGAAGGATCCTTGCCCGTGAGTTCAAAATTTCTGGAATTTTTTTTTTCGAGATTTTCGAATATCATGACGAAATAAAAAAAAAATTGTGTCTTCTTTTTTTGATAGAGAATGTAAAAAAATATATTTCATCCCAAAAAAAAAAATTGAGGTGTAAATATGTGAAATATGGTGAAAATGGGCCACTACAATNGCCCGTGAGTTCAAAATTTCTGGAATTTTTTTTTCGAGATTTTCGAATATCATGACGAAATAACTAAAAAAAAAATTGTGTCTTCTTTTTTTG